CTAGGGACTCTAAACAAATGTCTCTCCCATGCAAGATATCCCTCACCTTAAGAGGTAATGGCATTAATCAGAATAATCTCTAAACATTTTATTAAATTGTCAAATGTTTCTATAAATAGCAAAAATACTCCCCTTTCAGGAATGCTGTGCATGTTTTTGACATTTGTACTTTTGTACATGATCAGCATTTACAACCTTGGAAGAAATGAGAGGTATTGTTAAAATTTTAGGTATTTTAAAAAGATGTCAGTTTATAGCTTCCTTACTCTTTTATTCTGTAGTTATGTATTTCCATACCAAATATTCTCTCTTTTATGATCCCTTAAACTTAAAAAAATTTATGTATACTGTGAGGTGAATTGGACCATTTCTATGTTGCATTGCATTTGAGTAATACTTTGAAATGAATGTTCATTCTCAGGGTTCCAAAATTAAGTTAATCCATATGTAATTGGGAACATTCTTAACTGGACCATCTTGGTTAGCATGAGAAGGACAAATTATTTTGAAGAACTATTTAGCAAACCCTGAATAGCAATTAAATGAGAAAAGACTAAATTTCTCTTTAAAATGGATTGTTGCCATAACTTAATGTGGCAGTATGATTTTCTACTTTTAATTGCTTAGAGTGCACATTGTAAAGTAGAATTTTCTCTTCTGAGAGTAGATAGTTTCAAAATTTTGTACCATTTATGCTTTTTAACATATCAGTAGTTTGGTTTTGTAATTTCTTTTGTGATCCCTTTTCTTCATGATGGATAAAAAGCAACTAAAGGTTAGTAAAGATACTGTTGTACCTCTTATACAAAGAAGACAAGATGACTGTCTTGGAGAAACTAAGTATTTCTCTTTATGAGAATGTATGACCTTATCTTAATTTATTATGCTTTCTTTATAACAGAGCATTTTATTCCCAGAACAGTTATACTTAACACTGACACTTAAAGATGTTCCTTTTTAAAAAATTCAAATAGTTAGAACTTTCCCCCATATTCCACGTCAATATCACGATTCAGGGGGAGTTTGAACCTAATGAATACACAGTTCTTCATTTCACCCTCCCTAGCCACCACAGGCTTCATGTTGTTTATAGTCCCTTGCTTGCACATGTCTTTTGCAATAGTTATTGCAGAAGAAATTGATTACAGTGCTATCTTTTAGCAAATAACACGTTACAGTGTACTGTCTATCATAACTGTAGATGTTCAGTTGCTTAAAATCGCCTTCATCATTTAAAATACATTTTCTTTTGTCTCTAAATTAGTATGAAAATGCAGACAGTATTTCTTTAATTAAATGTGAAGGATTAATCAATGTAGACAAGTTGTTTCATAATAGAAAAATAAATAAACAAAAAATGGAATATTTACTTATTAATTCTTTTACGTTTAAGAAGAAAAGTGTTGGAGAAACAAAAAATTGGTGGTATTTTGACTGAGTTGCACTGAGGTTTATACCTAATATCTATTAATCAATATGAGAATCATCTAATGCATTTTTACTATACTTTCACATGCTGTTTTCAGAAGATGAAAAATTTTGTTCATCTCCAGAGTAGAACATGGAAGAGAAAAAATGGCAGCAATATATCTCAGCTCTCCTGTGTTCTGGGGATATGTTTTTTTTTCTTTTTTGAAACTAATCAGGATTTTCCAAAGTACCATCAAAGTAAAGTATTATGTATAAAATGACAAATATTACTTTCCTGTCTCCTCCTCGCTCTTATTTTCACTGCTTTGCACTCCTGATTGCAGCACCACCTGATGAGAATGAACAATTAACTGCGTAATTATTCCAGTCACACCGGCCCACAATGAAATCTTTATTCTGTGTTTACAGCAATCTTTGGCAGAGGCTGTCTTGCTGTTTCTAAACTAAGAAGAACTGCCCTTTGGCTCTTCTCTGCATCAGCTGCCTTGGTTTCAGCCTGGGATGCCAATAATCAGACTTCCTTTTCTTCCAAAGTAGACATTTTTTTTTTAGGGTGAAAAGACCTATTCTAATCACCCCCCTATATATTCTGGCTGATTTATGTTCTAGCCATTGCAGCTCTTCCTTCCGTATCACTTTACATTTTTTCCTCTCTCCATAGACTGCCACCAGGCAAAACTGCATTTTAAGTCCAAAACTGTAAAAAATGCATAAACAGTGTTCACTACTGTGAGGGAAAGAAAAATGTAACTATTAATTTATGGGTAGAGGGAAGTCAAGGAAATCCCTCTTGCTCTTCTAAACTGCTAATTTTCTAGCTCAAAAGGCATTCAGTAACTTCTTCACCAAGAGAAAATATATCTACTTTTCAGTGGCTCTCTTGATGACTTCCATTTACTTAAACTTGCCAACAGCTGCAGTCTTTGAGAAGCTTCAGAACTTGAGGAAATATATCAGGGTCTGAGAGGATATGGCTGAGTGTCTCTGAGGTGGTGAACTACTGCACTGTGATACTCAGGAAGAGAGAGGAGTCACTCCAAAGGACCAATCCAAAGGTCAGGAGAAGACAGTACCTTCACCTAACACAGGTGTGCGAAGCACCTTATTTAGTCATCTTGGGACCACCTGAGTGTCTTCTTTCTGAATCTGAGAGCAGAGAACAACCTGTATCAGGTCCCTTACCATAATCTGCGCAACTGATTTTTCCAGAAACTTTTCACTGCTTTGCAAAGATGATGGCATCTTACTTCTCATCCCAGTATTCAAGCTCTATGTGACAGTTCCCCTAACAACCCTTCAATCTCTCTTCTCAGCTCCCAACATCTACTGTAGTTACACTGCCTTTCCAGTGAGAACTCGGTCGTAAAATTTTACTGAGGAGAACGGTAGAAGAGGGTGTGTTTCAGGTGTATAAACACTGATTAAATTCCTGGGCAACTCTCCCCAAATGAAAGATAATTTTTCTACAAGTATGCGCAAGAATGTCAAGAATGCTAAGTCATTTTTATGTTTGTACTTTCCTTTTCCATTTTAATTTTACATTGCCACACAGCACACATGCTAAAATATATCTCAACCTGCAGTGTAGCAAACTTTTTACAAAATATTAAAACTGCATATTTTATAGTTTGACGTTCTCGGATGCTCAAAGCATTTTTGGGGTAGTGCAGGGAGGGAGGGAGATAGATACAAAATTAGATCATCTCATGACACAGGCCTATTAGAAAGACATGGCTACTTGTGCACTGGCAAATAGGAAAAATGAGAAGCACTGAGAAGAAAGGTCACACCAAAGTCAGTGGCCACAGCTTAAGCAGACTCTAACACCTTGTATCCAACTTATAATACTTCCCACTTGCTCTTTATTTGTCTCTGTTTTTCTCTGGCAGGAAGGTATGTGGCCAGTGTGGAGGCTTCACCTCATCTCCTGCACTCAGCTTAACTCTGTCAGACTGTTTCCCCACATTGTTGCCCTGATTTCTGCTTCATCAGCCGGCCAAGGCTGTGCGCTAGAGATCTGACCAGAGGCCAAGCTAAGTGGAGCCAATCGCAGGTGTCCTCGTGGCTTCCGCTAGTGTTGGCACTGAAGCTGCCCCTTCCAGGGAGCACGCTCCAGGCAACTGCAAGGGTCACACTAGCTAAGGAAAAGACTTTCCCAGGTTTTGTGAATCTTGAGAGGGAAAGCTGGGTCAAGTGTGAGGTTCAAGACGTTATGCCTCCACAGGTCTACCACCAGAGAAGGCTGAGGAAGGCGAATGGATACAAATTCACCTATAAGCAGAGGTGCAAACACGTCATAATCGCAACTTTTTTATTGCTTTCGTTATTCTTAGGTAAAACCAATTCCTTAGCTGTGTTCCTGGCAATACCACAGCCTTAAAGAAGTTAATTTCCTTTGATGGAAACACATCAGAGACTGGAGGCCTCGGGACATCATTTGTTGGAGAGGGGATAAAGACTCACTTTCCAGGCGATTATAATAATCAAATACAGTATCAAAAATCCTTCCCGGTATTTGTGCCAATAACAAGAGCAGCATTAATAATAATAATGGCAATAACACTGTAAACTCTGAATCTGCCCAGCAACCAACTCCCTAGTTCTCGGGTGTCCTCCTCTCTTACTCTGTTCCTGGGCTCAGCAGGTGGAGAAAGGGGGGAGGAGGCTCTGCAGCTGCCTCCAGCTGCGCTCCAGGTTCTAGCCGCGCCCCTGAGGCGGACGGCTGGGCAAAGGTTCTTCCTTCAGCCTAAATCAAGCCCACAGTCTCCCGCTGCTGAGAACAAGTTGGGATTCCACGGTAGCGTTTTCTTTGCAAATCTGAAACTTTAACCCAATCTGATCCCTCCCACCCCACCCACCCACCCCCGCTCTACACAAACATCACCACCGAAAAGCAAAGCCCAAACAACCCGCGCGCAATTCAGAGCTTTCCCTTGGACTGCCAGAGCCCGGAGACAGGAAATCCGGGGAGTTGGTGATGTCCGGCAGGTGGCGGGGACGCGAGTCACCATCACATTCCCCTCCCACGGCCAGAGCTCCAACGAGCGCGCAACGCCGGGTGCAGACGCGGGATCAGCCCCGAAAGTGTCTGCGTATTCAAAGCCTCAGTCTCCGGCCCCGCTTTCTGAGCATATCCCTAAGCGGGGGACTTAGCACTCTCCCCTTGGCAGTCGGAGGGAGGCGCCGCCGCCTGCAAGGCAAGCGAGGGCGATGCCAGGACCGAGCGCCCCGCAAGCCGCGCTCCGGGTCCCGGATCCTCAAGCTCAGGCGCGCACAACCCCGGCTCCTGGCGTGTTGCGCCCCAGCTTTCCTGCTCTCGGAGAGCAGCTTCTTCAACCCAGGCAACCCCTTCAAGCCTTCTTCCCCACAAAGTCCGGGGAAGTCGAACTCAGGGTGGCACGTAGGCTCGCCAGGACGGCGGCGAGTTGTGGAAAAAGCGCCGCGCAGAGCTGGACCGTGCGCAGATGCCAGGGCCGCTTCCCCCAGATTGCGGGCGCCCGCGCGCCCCTCGCCGCCCGGCGCCTGGAGCCGGGGGACACGCGCGGCCCGACCCGAGCCCTCTCTTTTACCTGGCACAGCCGGCGACTCTCCCGACGTTCAGACTCCTCCGGGGCGAGCGTCCAGCTCACATCGCTGCCTCCCCCACCCGGCAGCCGGTGTCCCGCTGGGTCGCTTCGCCCCTGCGGCACCGCCCCGCCCCCCACCCCCCTTCCCCCACTGTCCAAAGTGTCACAGCTTTTCTGCCTTCGGATGTTTCGCAAAGTCTTCTCGCGGTCTCCAGGAGTTGGGGGGGTCAATGTCAGGCGCTCCAACCCCGCCGTTGCTCTGGTCCGGTCTTTCGCGGTCCTCAGCGCTGGACGGTGAGGAAAGCCACCTCTTCGCGGTCACCCTCCCCGGAGTGCGGTGCGCGGTCCGCTTCCCCTTCCCCGCGCCTTCCAGAGCCCGAGTGGCTGCCGAATGCCTGTGCCGCGGATCCTCATTCCCGTGCTCATGAATATTCTGACAGAGGCTAAGGCTATTGAAGTAAATTGAATTAGCCAATTGGTGCCAAGAATGTGTGCTCTTTCCTTCTGAGGAGCAGTCTGGAACCTCACCAGAAGAAAGCAATTAATGTCCGGTTGGCACCCCGTGGTTTAGACCAGCGAGGAGCAAAATGGGTTAATTATTTAAATGAAGTTTAAATACCACATTTAAATGTTTAAACTCCTCTATTGGCTGAGAGAGTAAGGAAATGCTAGCACAGAGGGCATGAAGGAAAGTAGGTAGGAAAGGGAGGCTTATCCACCTCAACTTTCTCCTGAAGTTGAAGTGATTTGTTTTTCATACATTTTGGATTCTGGAAAAGCAACGGGTAAAGAGAACAGAAAAAGGCAGAGAAATGGGAGCAGAAAGATGAGTACAAACGCAGGTTTAACCTTGACCTTGAAGATGCAGCGAACTCTAATAATTTCGAAGAGGTTTGAGGAGAGAACAGAGGGAGAGGGAAACCTCACTCGTTGATTTTAAAAGAATTTTTACGGGTCGTCAAATTTCTTCTTTGGCCCTCAAAGCAAAACCATTGAATTTTAAATCTTTAGATTAAGTAGGGGCGGACAAGATACACTAAGGGTCAGAAGTTTCAGACGAGGAAGCTGAGACCTCCCTACAACCAGATGGTGAAATCACCCAAATCACACAGTGAATATGATAAGGCCAGTCTAGAAGGCAATGCCAGTTCTACAGTTCTGAGGTCAAATAAACAAGACCAACAAGAGAATCACTTTTCTTTTGTTCTGATGCCCACCCTAGAATGCCAAGTTATTCATTACAGCCTGGGTTTAGCAGATGAGCAGGCTGGGAATCATTGCCTGGTCCTTCATCTACATTTTTAAAAAATCTAACAGTGAGGTGCTTTTAGGATTTCCATCTCCATCACTGGTTTTCTAAACATAGAAAGTTATTTTTATTAAATAGGTTACTAAATGATCTACTTGTGTTCTATGGCCACATGATCTATGATCTATGTCTATAAACAACTGATAAAACTACATGCGTAAATAACTGGTAAAGTTCCAGGTGCTACAATAGAAATAAATGTCCTTATTAAGTCAACTGAACCATATATAATAGTTTTCAGCAGGCCTAAAATCAGGATTGGTAGTTATAACAGTAATTATTAATATGAGAGCAGCTAATGCTTATTAAGAACTTATATGACAGGCATGTACTACGTGATTCATCTTATTTAATCTAAATACTCTTTTCATTGTATACTATTATTTCTCCATTTCAATAGATGAGGCAGGTGAGGCTGAAAAGTTTGCCAGTGTGCCCAAGTCCCATAGTTTATAAGTGGTGGAGATGAACTTTGATCCAAAGTAGCCTGATCAATAGGCCACAAGCAGCTTATACTGCTAAAAGAACAGAACAAACAAACACAAAACAGCCAAATCAGATCAAAAAGGAGATAAGTATGAACCTAGGTTTAACCTTGACCTTGAAGATGCAAATGACTTCAGTGATTTCAGAGGAAGATTGGAGAGACATGGCAGAAGAAAGAAACCTCATAGACTTTTAAGAATTTTTCCTTAAAAACTCCCTAAAGAGATGATTATTAAAAAGAGAACCAATTTCCTGGTATTTTGTTGAAATGATTTGTTCTTGGCAATTAATTCCTTACCAAAACTTAGAAAAAAGGAGATTTCTTAAATGGTTTTTTAGTCCATTTTCTGTTGCTATAATAAAATATCTGAAACCAAGTTACTTGTAAAAATGGAAGTTTATTTGGCTCACAGTTCTGGAGGCTCAGAAGTCCAAGAGCATGGTGCCCGCACTTGGTAAGGGTCCTTTTGCTGTCTCATAACATGGCGGAGAGCCTCACATGGGAAAGAGAGTAAGCATTCCAGCTGTGGCCCCTCTTTCTCACCTGATAAAGCCAATAATGTATCAGGAAGGTCTCACCCTCATGACTTCATCTGATCTTAATTATATCCCAAAGGCCCTACCTCTAAAGATCATTAAGACCTGACTTGGGGGTTTAAGTTTTCAACATCAACATCTATATATTTCCAACTTCTAACCTATTGTCAAACACACAGTATACAACACGTATGTATTTTTTTTTACTTAAGATTTTTCAGACCTATTATTAATGAGCTAGAAACAATTGTATTTTGTTTCTTCCGTTTTTTTTAATGTGAGACATCACTAGAGTTAAATGAAACTATCCTTAAAGAACTAAAAATGGACTATAATATATTGGATTAAAAGAAAAATTTATATATATTATATAAGGGAATTAATTTTAGTACTACAACTTTAGGGATAAAAATGGTCAGGTTAAATCTTTCAATTTATCTGTTTAATACCTACTAAGTGTAAGCTGCATATCTGTCTATTCAAATGTTTTTTGTTAAAATCCACCCCTGAAATTATTTTAAACAGTTTAGGATTTGTCATATTTTATTCTTTGAAACTTTGGTTGGTTCAGAACCTTTTATTTTTAAAAAATGACTGTTTTATCCTTGTATTAAATACATGCAGTTTTCCTCTTCGTGATTCATCCCTTACAATGCTCTGTTAGTTCCTTCTTTTGTGAGAGAATCCTCTTAGGTTTTAGAAGCAACATTTCACAGGAAGTCTTCAGAGTTTGGCATGTTTATTTATATGAATATGTTAACATGATTTTAGAGCCCATAAAATACTATCAGACTGAGTGCTTTCCATATTCCTCAAGAGCTTCAGTTGGCAGTATGGGGTGGACTGCAAGTCCAGGGTGGGACACTGGCACTGAGTAGGGGTATGAGGCCGTCTCCGATAAGCCATTCTCCTTTGTAGTGAACCAAACTAGAGCCTCTACAAAGTGGAAATAACAGTATCCTATTTATTGAGTGCTTTGCTATTTTCAAATTGCCCTCCCACATTCTATCCCATTCCATCGTACCCACTGACTACCCAGTGAATTCAGCATTCATGTCTGTATTTCACTGATGAGGAACCTCAAACTCTCAGAGGTTCAGTCATACCCAGAGCTTCTCCTATGAAGGGATAGAGTAGGAAGTTTAATCCAAGGACAAAGTCACCTCAGTGAATCCATCTTTGATATCTCTCTCTTGTCCATCCTTGTCCTCCCATGCATACACAATTTCTTTTTTTCCAAAAGAAATAGAATTTCCTCCTTTGTTCTCCTCTAAGACTTCTCATATATGTAAACAAATAATTGGAACACAATGTGTTGTCTCTGCCTGTAACCAAAAGCAATGTCAAGTCATGAACTTTGTCTTAATCCTTTTGTATCCCTGAATTTAGCTGAGTGGGAGGTGCTCAGGAACCCCACCAACACCAAATCCAGCACACTTAAATGTGTCCCCTTGATTTTGCTGGACTACTAGGATTACAAAAATAGCTGCCAGGTGCTCTAGAAATTTGAAAACACCATATAATGATATTACTGTTATTCAAAAATAGATTGAGAAACAAATATAATAATTTTAGCTTTGACCTCCGGCTGATAAATCCTATGAGTGAGAAAGTAGTTTGGTAATTTTTATGTCAGCCACTGTTATTTAGGATATGGGTGGATAACACTTGCTTAAATTATAATCAGTTGGTTAACAGTAATACTAAACTGGCCCATTAAGCAAGAAGGTATTAGTCTGGGAAAGATGAGTTGTGTGTGTGTGTGTGTGTGTGTGTGTGTGTGTGCACATGCATCTCTATGCACTATATTTCTGGAGTTTAGAGTATTTTCTGTGTGCGAGCAGCTTCAACCACTAATATAGGTGTATTTCTCTATGAAACAGATCTGCTTTTCCCATGTGGGGATGATCTTTATTAAGAGCTCCCAAGGTTACCACATTAATGACAGAGTTAAGGGTCTTGACCCTTATTCAATGCTATTTTCACTCCACACTGACCCTGGTCAGTAGCCACTACTGTACAGTGTGGTTTATGGTTTTAAGATTGAGATGAGAGATAAGCAGCTCAATACCTCATTATAATTAGTCTCCTGAGTCAGCTAATACCCTTCTAATGCAATTTGGTGATCCAGATTATTCAGTATTATCCATTGAAGATATTTTTAGATGTATAATGATAATTATGTAGTAGAACTGATGACAATGACATACAAAAACACTTTTGTGGCTTCATAGTTTGTCTTTCCCATAAATATTCATTACTGAACTGTTGTTTTGGTTAAAAATGACACACATACAACATTCATAAAATTAAAAATTCTTATTTATCTACAGGTTCTTTGTTTTCTTTTTTTACTATGTACAATTCAGATGATGTTTCTATTCTATACTGATTTTACTAAGGCCATTTGCAGTTTTGAGTTACCTTACTTTTAATTTTATACAACATATATAATCATTCTGTCCTTTGAATTTGTGAGTCAACCAGTGATTTTCAGTTTTTTGCAATAGAAACTGGTTCCTTCCTGGTTGATGTCTGTCAGTTCCCAGCTATATCTCACTGTGTTTATTAATAAAATAGATGAATAAAATGCATCCTACTACCATCCTACCACCTCCTCCAAGAAGAACTAGCTGGCGAAACACAGTGCTTGTGACAATATTCCGGAAGTTGACACTGCTGATCCATTCAATTGAATCTGACAAACTTGAATACAGTATCCTTGCCACAGGCAAGGTACTGTGTTGGTTATTTTAAATGTTTCACACAGATATAAAAACCAATG